GCTCCCGAGCAGCGCGTTCTCCCCGGCAGTCCGCCAGCAGATGAAAAACACCCACCTCTCCGCCTCTTCCGAGGGACGAGGGAACCGCGCGGGGGGGTCTGCTGGAGGCTCCTGCCGGGTGCTCCGTCCTGCGTTTCACCGGGACCTGGCTCGGAACTCTGACTCCAGCGCGGTGTGGCGGCCTCGCCCTGGCCGTCCACCGTGCGCCTCCGGGTACCTGACTCCCCTGCCTCCTCCGGGGGCAGGTGTGAGGGGTTCAATGCCTCCTCCCCCTGCTGCGGCGAAGGCCGGAGCGGGATGGAGTGCCCAAAGGTACTGTTGTCCGCACGTTACCATGTTGTCTGGAGGATAGGACCGATATTTGATATACTCTCTACCCGGGTTACAAGTCACTATTTTCGGACCCTTTCTTTGCTTTACCCCCGGTATGGATCAACTCTCCTCAACTCAATCTTCTTTCCCAGCCCCCCAGTTCTCCCTACTGACGCCCGGTTACGGGTCAGTTTGTGACTCATTTGCTGGGTGAGTAAGATTAATTGATGCCTCGGATATGAGTGTCGGCCTGGTACTTCGGGGCACTTACCTTCTCCCGGTAAATATCATTTACCCAGCAGTGTTGAACGCAGATGGAGCCTCCCATCTTCCAAAAGAGCGTACCTTTCAATCTATTTTAATCGATTTCAATCTGCTTGTGTCTCCACAGGTTTGGCTAATGTGACTTCCAAGATGCGGTCCAAGATGACGCCAGAATGCCCGCTGTGTCACCTGAAATACCGCGCTCTCCCAAGACACTTGGTGTTCCAGCACCTTGTCCGCAACAAAACTGAACGCAGCATTCTCCTACGCATGGCCAATGGAAGAAAAAACATTCGCCTGGAGCCCTGTTCTGTCGTTGGTTGTGCATACCATGGCACCAGGCTGGACCGGCATCTCGATATTGACCACCCGGAGCTCAGCCAACAAGAAGCAGACTTATCACTGCAAGAAGTAAAATGCAAGGTGGGGCTTAAAATGCTGAGGGAGCTCCGGGAGATCGACCCCCCAGTACACATGACAACGACACTTGATGTGGAATATGGTGCTTAGGATGAACACCCAGACTCCTTTTCCGGGGAAGTTGACCTCGAAGCCGATGAGGGAACAACAAACAAAGACTGTTAAGGCTGGAAAACGTCGCACTGGCGGCTCAAAAAGAGGCCCTCAATAAAGAGGTGTGTTTTCTAAGAAATAAGCTGAAGCAGTTGAAGGCTTCCAGTGCAAAGAGGGACCTCCGTAGCTCGTCAGCGACTCCTTTAGCTGAAAGCATTACGATCCAGCAGCCAGAAAGGCCAGCTTCCTCCAGAATAAGCTCCTCAGGCAGATACACCCCCTTGGTTGAACTCGGTAGACCTCAATCGAAATACGCTGGGGATGAGGAGTCTAGGGGCGAAGGAGACCCATGTCAGCCCCCCCCAGTGTAAACCAAGTAGACTTGTCTCGGCAGCGAGCAAACATGCAGAGTTCCTCGGGGGTGAAGTGCAAATCCAAGCATAAAAACACATCACATGAACATGGTGTCATCTCTAAGACGGCCCGTGATGAGGGTCATGGTGGTGTGGGAATCAGGCGGAAATCAGCGACACCACGTCTAACAGGCAGAAGCAATCAGATATACCCCTGGATTGCTCGAAGTCATGGAGGACACCGCTGTGAACGCCATAGGGGCCGAACTGGCACCTAGTGATGAGCTGCAGGGGGACTGTGAGGACTCGGATGATCGGGCCATGACTGACGTAGATGAGCCGGAGATGGCAATTGAAGTCACGGAGCTCCTCATGGGTCAAAAGCAACCCAAAATCCCAACTATCTCCGGCATCACGACTCCAGTGACACAGCCCACGTCAGGGTCACCCGCCTACACAGTAGCATTTTAAATGCTGCAGCCATTGTCAGTGCGCAATAATCCTCTACCAGCAGGACATGGCCATTGTTCCATACCCCTGTATTGCTCAGGATCACCAAAGCTCGGCGCGCTAGACGGGCAGTGGTCCCCGTGGCTGGGAAAATGTCACCCACACCTTCCAGGCCCTCTGGTAGTAGGCGTGCGAATACAATGTGGCACATCACACTTACACCCAGCATGGAGGCGGTAATGACAGAGTACCGGTGAAACGGGTCAAGAATTTTCTACTATTTATGGGGCAAGACTCTCCCCGTCTGTCGGACTGGCTGTTCCTGAAGGACACCTCAAAGATCCGTGCCTGGCCACATGACCTGAGAGAAAATAGCAACCTTGCCATCACGACTGTTGCCTTTTATATAAAAAATATACTGCAGTTTATCTGGTACTTGATGGACTCGCATCTAAAAGCAAACAGGCTCAGTCAGTCTGACATGCACACCATATTGCGGGAGTTGCAAGGTTGCCTGGTGCATCTGCACAGGGATGTGACAGTGCACCAGTTCCATGTGAAGAGGCGTAAGCTGGACAGCCTGCCCGGCTATGGTGATCTTGAAAAGTGTCTTTCTGCCTCTGTCAAGCGCATCCCTGAACTGTTGGATCGAATGGAGCGTTCCCCCTCTGTAGAAGCCCGCTACCTACTATACGGCTATTTCTCACTCCATTGGTCCCTGCTCTATGGTCACCGTGCAGGAGTCTACGCAAACATGACTAATTCAGAGGTGAATGATGCGGAAAACAGGGGCACCAAGCACGGTTATGTCATCCATGTCAAGGCACACAAGACCGCCAAAACCTATGGAGTGCAGGTGCACTGTACTACGGAGGAATTTGGCTGGGTCCAGCGATGGATGCATATCAAAAAGACGTTGATTGGGCACCAGAATCGCTACTTCCTCTACACGGCGGGGGACGGCCCCTCAAAGAACCTCCACATGTTTCTCAACCTTGCATGGACTGATGTAGGGCTTCAGGGGTCGATTTCTCACACCCTGCTACGCACCGCCCTGGCAGACACTGTGAGTTTGGTAATGACTGCACATGTAACTGTTACCAATTCCATCCATCCATCCATCTTCTCCCGCTTATCCGTGGTCGGGTCGCGGGGGTAGCAGTTCCAGCAGAGAGCCCCAAACTTTCTTTTCCCTGGCGACATCAACCAGCTCTGACTGGGGGATCCCAAGGCGCTCCCAGGCCAGCGAAGAGATATAATCCCTCCACCTGGTCCTAGGTCTACCCCTTGGTCTCTTCCCAGCTGGACGTGCCTGGAACACCTCCCTAGGGAGGGCGCCCAGGTGGCATCCTAACTAGGTGCCCGAACCACCTCAACTGGCTCCTTTCGACGCGAAGGAGGAGCGGCTCAACTCCGAGTCCCTCCCTGATGACCGAACTTCTCACCTTATCCCTAAGGGAGACACCAGCCACCCTGCGGAGAAAACCCATCTCGGCCGCTTGTTACCAATTCCAGTTTGACTAATTATCCCTATCTTTCCAGGTGAAGAGATACCAGGACCCATCCAATCGCGAGGTGCTCTCCCGGTTCATGTGCCACGACTTAAGGACGGCTAACCGGTACTACGCCAGCAACCCAGGTGTTAAGGAGGCCTTGGGCATCAGATACATGTTTCAACAATCGTTTGCCCAGGCGACAATGGATGCACAAGCCGAGGCCGGGATAGAACCTGAAGCAGCAGGTCCCTCCGCTGCCCCAGCTCCAGCTGCAAAGACAGAGCCAAAGCCGAAGGCAAAGCGAAAGGCATCCTCCGCTCCAGCACAGCGTAAGGCAGGGCGAGCTCCAGCCCATTGTCCCGAGTTCAGCAGCAGCAGCAGCGATGATGAATTAACTCTGGTTTACCAAGATACCACCAGTGATCCCTCGGAGGATGAAGCCGATGCAGAGTTCCAGGCTGGGTTGCTGGAGCGGGCGAATAAACGGGAGAAAGAACCGAATGAGACTATCCTCGATTCTGCTGACGATGACAGTGACAGTCCCTTAGAGTCTACTTGCTTATCGAAGACTCTCCAGAAGCAAAGTTGGATGAACCAGGAACTTAGGACCCTGGGAACTTAGGACTCTGGGAACGTAGGACTCTAGGAAGTTAGGACCCTGGGAACTTAGGACTCTAGGAACTTAGGACCCTGGGAACTTAGAGAACTAGGAACTTAGGACTCTGGGAACTTAGGGAACTGGGAATATAGGACCCTGGGAACTTAGGACTCTGGGAACTTAGGACTCTGGGAACTTAGAGAACTGGGAACTTAGGACCCTGGGAACTTAGGACTCTGGGAACTTAGGACTCTGGGAACTTAGGGAACTGGGAACATAGGACCCTGGGAACTTAGGACTCTAGGAACTTAGGACCCTGGGAACGTAGGACCCTGGGAACTTAGGACTCTGGGAACGTAGGACCCTGGGAACTTATGGAACTGGGAACTTAGGACTCTGGGAACTTAGAGAACTGGGAACTTAGGACCCTGGGAACTTAGGACTCTGGGAACGTAGGACCCTGGGAACTTATGGAACTTAGGACTCTGGGAACTTAGAGAACTGGGAACTTAGGATTCTGGGAACGTAGGACCCTGAGAACTTAGGACTCTGGGAACGTAGGACACTGGGAACTTATGGAACTGGGAACTTAGGACTCTGGGAACTTAGAGAACTGGGAACTTAGGACCCTGGGAACTTAGGACTCTGGGAACGTAGGACCCTGGGAACTTATGGAACTTAGGACTCTGGGAACTTAGAGAACTGGGAACTTAGGATTCTGGGAACGTATGGAACTGGGAACTTAGGACTCTGGGAACTTAAAGAACTGGGAACGTAGGACCCTGGGAACTTAGGACCGTGGGAACTTATGGAACTGGGAACTTAGGACTCTGGGAACGTATGGAACTGGGAACTTAGGACTCTGGGAACTTAAAGAACTGGGAACGTAGGACCCTGGGAACTTAGGACCGTGGGGACATAGGGAACTGGGAACTTAGGGAACTAGGAACTAAGGGAACTGGGAACTTAGGACATTAGAAACTGGAGACTCTGGAAAACATCACAACCTCCTACCTGGTCCCTCCTCTCTCTCCTCCTCCTCCTCGTCCTCCTCTGTCTCCTCCGTCTCTTCTATACCTCCTGATGCTGTAACACAAACAGAGCTGTTATTATCACATGCTGTTTGAGACTCACCTCCTCTCTCGTTACCCTCCTCTCCTCATCCTCCTCTCTCCTCCTCCTTACCTCCTCTCCTCATTCTTACCTCCTCTCTCCTCCTCACCTCCTCTCTCCTTCCTGCTCCTCCTTTCAGATGAGTCCTTCCTCCAGAGTTTCTTCTGGTTGCTGCGAGCCCTCATGGCTGTTCTGAAGTCAGTGATCCAGGCGTGATACACAAACTGAGAGAGAGAGAGAGAGAGAGAGAG